ACAGTACAAAAGAACATGTGAGATATCTTCAACTTCTCCTTTACCACATATACATACCCGTTCTGCCATTGGTGTTCTCTTATACCTGCCCTGGAGGAGTGCTGAGGGAAGAATGTTAAATCTGTCTCTGAAGAAAGCTATTCTTTGTTTTGGGAAGGTCAGATCATTCAGATATCTTGCCGATTCCCACACACCCTGTTTGATTCTACCCCTACTGTGGCAAGGCAACCTATTTAGTTCTTCTTGGAACTCCATGTCCTTCATTCTATTGAATACTACTTGCTTTGCTTGGTCAAAGCCTAGGGACATTAAGAATACCGAAGAGAGCTCATAAGAGCCCAGTTTATGATCAATAGCCTGCTTCCAGGGGGAGGGGAAGTTGTCAGTCAGCACTAACAGGGACAGTCCCTCTGGAAAGAAATGCATTTTAAGCCAGTGAATGATCATCATCTTCCAGGCTCTTACCTGGATTTGAGGCATGCCTGTCTCAATTCTTAATTGGGCATTTGGGGTTCCTTTGGGTACAGCTAAGATGGCTCGCAGGAATTTGGTTTGTATGGTTTCTAGCAAGTTTTTCTTTGTAAGGATTCCTGTTTGTGCCCCATATAGAATTTGTGCCAATGTTTTGGCCTCGAAAAGTTTTAAGGCAGCAGGTACTAATTGACCTCCACCTGTGTAAAAGTAATGTTTAATTGCATTTGAGGACCTATTGGCTGCTTACAATGTATGATCCAGATATGCCTTCCATGTCCCTTGCGAGTGGAAGTCCACCACAAGGTATCTAAATGTTCTAACCTGTTCCAGACTATGTCCTTCTATTTTCCAAGAGTATTGGCTGGGTCTTTCAGCAAAAACTAAAATTTTTGATTTATCAAAGTTAAGACCAACTTGTTCTGTCTGCAATAGCCAAGTGTTGCCCTAATTGCTCTCTTCAGTCCTACAAGAGTTTGTGAAATAATAACCGCATCGTCGGAATATAGAAGAATCGGGATTTTGCGATGTGCTAGATTAGGCGGATGCAGATCAGGATTCTGTAAGAGATCGATCAGGGGGTTGATATAGAAGTTAAAAAGGGAGGGAGACAGGATGCAACCCTGCCATACCCCTTTTTGTACCATTACTGAGCCGGTTAAAGTCCCTTGAGGATTACACCTAACTTTCAAGGTGGAATTGGCGTATAATCTTTGTATGAGAAAAAGGAGGTGTTTATCGATAGTAGTGCATTTTAATTTCTCCCAGAGGGTGTAATCAACACTAGAGTAGGTAAGGTAACTATGATGACTTTACATGTAAATTTTAAGCTAATTGTTCTATCTGACCAAACTGGATTTTGTACATCCAAGATAAAAGTAAACTTTTCCTGCAAAACCAGCACAGTAATGTACCCTGTACCCTGTTAAATTTTAATAAATAAATATGGTGTTGGAGGAACAAAATGTGCTTTCCCATCCTAGTAAGTCTCTTTGATATAAGTCAAATAAAAATCCTGGGCTTTTAAATTACATTGCCAATATTTCAAAGAGGAAATCTGAAATGCTACCTATTTAAGAGGCTAGTCAACATTTTTTTTTTTTTACAAACCGTTAATCACTGTGAATGTATTTATAACTTAGCTTTACATCTAAGTGCATCAGCTCTCCCTAACCCAGGTAAACAGTCAGCTAACCAGCAGCATGGGATAGGTGTTGTCAAAAGATCAAGTTAGTATTCTGGCAGTGTGACTGATATCCAATTCTTTTTGTAGGTGCATTTTTATTGATGAACACATTAAAAAAAGGACTGTTGCAACCACTAACTTTTTAAACTTTCCCTATAGATGCTGTTCTACCTGACACGTTTTCTTTTTTGCAAATGTTCTCCCTCATTTGCTTGTATGTCTAATTATTTTTATGTGTTGGATATTCAAGAGCTAGCATCCAAGCTACTAAATAGACTTGATTTCAAATAAGGATTAATTTCAAACTTTACTATGGAAACTACTAGATAAAATGATCAGCTGTAACCTTAGTTAAGTCTATACTATGAAATATATAATATGTAATATGAACAAAGTGTGATTCACTAGATCAGTATACTCAAAACTTTCTGCTGTTCAGAACTAGATAAATATTTGGAAAATGCAGGAAACGCCAAATTAAACACACACCCCTACATTTTTGTCTTTAAAAGCTCAGGAGTTCACATTTTTTAGCAAGTAATGTAGAGATTATACTTGCATTTGTGTACTCCATCCCCTGCATTTTAAGAGGATTTTTAAATTAAACGTTATACTAAACATTAATTCAAAATTAAGCATTAAATACTCCATACCATTGTAGCAACTCATGCTTACTTGTCAACAATGTTCTTCAACAGAAACCTATTGAGCATTAGAGGACCAAGAAGAAGTCTTTACTAAAGTCCTATGTTTGATATTAACTATTGAGTTTCTAATTCATTCTTTTTGGCTATGTTACTTGCGTAAGACTTGAGTCAGTAACTATATCCAATTTCTGTTTCACTATTGCCAGTTTTCTGAATTGAAGTACTCACTATGTATGTATTATCACATATGCATCACCATAAACAAGTTTTTGGCCAGTGATCCATTTTTGCAAATCAGCTGATGGTCAGAAGGCAGAGAAGCAGAATTAAGCTGCTTAGCAGGTTCTGAATGTTTTAGTGGTGGCAAATGTAATAAGGTTGTGGTGGACCACTTGGTGAACTCCACTGATACTGGTGTTCCACAGACCATTGATCAAGTTAGATAATAGTTGACATGCCCACTGAAGTCAAGCTTGACTCCATGTAATTACATGCATATATAAATACTGTGGTATTTGCACAATACAGGTAGTCCTTGACTTACAACCACAATAAAGCCAAACTAAGTGAAACATTTGTTAAATGAGTTTTGCCCCATTTTTTACCTTTCTTGCCAATTGTTAAGTAAATCACAGCAGTTGTTAAGTTAGGAACATGGTTGTTAAGTGAATCCGGCTTCCCCATTGACTTTGCTTGTCACAAGGTTGCCAAAGTCAATCACATGACCCCGGGACATTGCAACCATCATAAATATGAGTCGGTGGCAAACGTCTGAATTTTGATCACACAACCACAGGGATGCTGCAAAGGTCGTAGGTGTGAAAACGGTCATAAGTCACTTTTTTCAGTGCAGTTGTAACTACCAATGGTCACTAAATAAACTGTTGTAAGTTGAGGACTACCTGTATGAACATTTGCTATTATGTTCTTCTGGGATTCCCCCCCCCCCCCGCCGCCAATTATTCTGTCTAACCTTCAGCCCTGGGATGTTCTGGTGGTCTCCCATCTAGCAACACTTTAATTTTTTCCAGATCAGCCAAAGTTGATTAGATACTGCCATCTCCTGTCACAGCTATTTCCTTTTTAAAAAGATGTCAGTTATAAAACCAGGTTATATAAATTTATTATAAGATTTATAATAGGGGGAAAAAAGAATTGAATTCTGTTTGGGCACCTCCTCCAATTTCCAGGAAACTTCAAAAGACTGTCTAAACAAATAAGTCCTGCCAAGTGAAGATAGTATCTGTGGGCAGGGAGAATATCCACAGAAGTTAAATTTCAGCTATCATTGATAAAGTTTGGAGACTAGGGACTAAGGAAGCCCCAGTTATTCTGCCATGGGAATGAATGTTCTAGAAGAGCTGATTTACCACAAAACTAAAGTCCAGTACATGACCAAGTGAAAACTTCTCTTTTGAAATGACTATTCACCTTAGCAAAGAATTCTAAACTCTGCTCATTCTCCTTTCAGCAGCTAACCTTAGGTGCGAGGCTACAGCAATAAACCTAGATCTGAGGCAGGGTGTAACTGAGGTATTTCCACCTTAGTCTTTATATGTCCAAGATTAATGATCTACTACAGGTAACTAGAAAGTGGTAATAAGAGAATGTTCTTCTCTCTCTCTCTCTCTCTCTCTCTCTCTCTCTCTCACACACACACACACACACACACACACACACACACACACACACACTTCAGCTTTCTTTACACTGGGTGGCTTTGCAAAGAACATTCCAAAGTTGGTCCTGGGGACCTTGTTTTGCTTCACTTACCTTGCAATTGCAGACCAAAAAGTCTCCCCTCCCCCTCTCCACCCACAACATTAAAATAAACAATAAAAAATCCCCAATGTTACAGGGCAGCTAATAATAGAAGCTCAGCTAATCCGGAAGGAAGCTAAGGGAGACAGTCAGAGGTCACTGCCATTCTGAATCTACGTCAAATAATATATTTTTTACAACATCCATTACAACTGACGTTTCAGTTGCTTCTAGAGTCTGTTGGCATTCAGATGTATCTCATCTTCACCCCCTTTATATGGTGGTGCAATTAAAAATTAATAGAAAAGCGAAACAAAGCAACAACTACGTGCAACTACATAGACAGACTCATATAGTCAATGGAGAAGGAAAGGCTAAAATCATGCTTTTCATAGCCAACATAAACAGGCTACCACACGTTTAACCCTTTTCGTCAAATCTCTTTCTTTCTTTCTTTCTTTCTTTCTTTCTTTCTTTCTTTCTTTCTTTCTTTCTTTCTTTCTTTCTTTTCTTTTTTTTCTCAGGATTGCATCCATCTCCCTCTCCCCTGTCAAGTGTACCCGACTGAACAAAAGGCGCTAGAATTCCTTCAATGCACGGTTACAACAACAATAACAATGATGATGATGGTGGTGGTGGTGGTGGTGGCGGCGATGATGATGTACGTTTTAGCCCGCCTCCAACTCTTCTTCCACCATGTCGAAAACCAATCCCGCCGCTTTTTTATTTTACTGAAAGCTTGCGAAGGTTTTAGGGAGGCAATCAGTGCGGGAGGAGGTGGTCCCGGTTAATCCCCACGGTCTTTTTCCAGATCTGCCAAGCCACTTCTGGCAAGCGCCCGGAGAGTTAGAAGGCGAGTCCGGGTTTGGCGGGGAACGGGAGGGGGTGTTGGCCAAGGTATCCGCGAGGAGGAAAGGCTAGGTGGGGGGTCTTACCTTGATGCACCGCCACGTTACAGCCATGCCCATCACAGTAGACCAGAGGGTTTTCTGCCCAGCCGCGTTCATCAGAACAGACGCAGCAGCCGCCCACCATCTCCTTCATTCTTCCATAAGTTTCTTTTTTGCTGATTTCCCACCCCCACCCCCTTGTTGTGTTACTGCTGGCACCGCTGTTTCCAAGCACGCATTTACTCCTCGTCCTTTTCTTCCTCTTCTTGATCTCGGGCCTTCTCTCCTCCCCCGACCCGCCTTGATATGTAAAAGATATGCCCCCCCACAATCCGCTATGACGGGGAAGAAGGCAGAAGGCTCGGACGCCTCCCCCCCGGACGAAAATGCCACATTGTTATTTGCAAAAGAGAGCTTGGCGGCATCTCTGGCGCTGAGCTCGGGCAGACGCGGTGGCTGGTCCCCAGGCACACAGACACACTCACCGACACCCGACGCTCACGCGCGCACACACGCACACAACGTCGCCCTGGCTGCTTGCAGCCGACAGCGCAGCAATTATGGCTCAGAAGTCTTAGGTTCGGGGGCAGCCGGAGCGCGCTGGAGCGTGTGGGAGCTTTATTCGGTTTTATTGCTGCCTTTCTATCTCATTTGCACACCGCGACCCGCTTTTCTGTGACCATACTGAAGGGGGGGGGGGTGCTATTTGTTTCTTTTTCCGGCTTCCTCAAGGAGGGGGAGACGGAGTTAGCATCTAAAGTACGGTAACACTTTTCTCCCTTTCTCCTTTCTCTCTCTTTCGTTTTTTCCTCTCTTGTTTATTGTCCAATATGGGGCAATGGAGAGAGGGGAAAAAGAAGAAAAGAAAAAAGGAGGAGGAATATTGCGCTCGCTTAAAAGCCTATTATCTAACGATTGACAGATAAAAACGTCATCAGCGCCACCTTTTGGTTGAAGCAGCGAATAAACAAATCTTTACGGGGGAGGGGAATAGGAAAGGGAGCATGTGGGCTTCAAAATCTGCCTAGTTTATATCAATCAGTTATAATTTATTGTTGCAATCCATATGGTATAACTTCTACACTTATTCAATGTGCAGTAAAACAGCAAACTGTAATTAACACAATTTAAAATTATATAACATCTGGCTGATATAGCCATTCCAAAAATGAAACAAACATATAAATATCCCAAACCAGACAAAATCTGAGGTAGCTGTGTTGAATCACAAGGAAGAATCAAGGGAATTAGAGATATATTTCACTAGGACTAATCAAAATGTCAAAGAAAATTTGTTATAAATAAATATCTGGCCAAACTCTCACTTTCATTTTGGTTTATATGCTGGCTGAAAATTTGGGAAAGTAAATTAGGCCCATATGTTGGGGCAGGCATTGGAGGAAATAAAGGATAGGTCTTGGCATCTGGGCAGTTGCTCCAAAATGAAATTATGGGAGAGGGAGAATGTTAATTCAATCTTGCCCTGGATGTGGATTCTTCTTAAGCATGTGTTTGCTTGCAATAGAATCAAAATAATGAGATTTTTGTGAAGAAAAGTAAGAGGTGACATGAGAGCAGTTTGTAAAATCTTGCATGATGAAAAGAGACAGGTTCGTTTTCCATTTCTTACAACACTAGAATTCAGGTTGCCTGCTAAAATTAAGGAAATTAAGAACTGGTAAAAGGAAGTACTTATTGATGCAACATAAAGTTAAATAATTGAGTTTGCCAGCATCAGATTTCATTATGTTACCCATTTAGATGGTTTTAAAAAAAGACTAATCCAATTTGTGAGGGATGGAGTTATTGGTCACTGTTATGGATCTTTCCCCTCTGGCGAATTAAAATACTATCCATTTGGGTTTGCAGAAAACTGTACTGCTATGAAATTCATTGCCTCCACTGTAGATTGTTAGTCTGCCAGCTGTTCTGGTTTACTGTTGAATAGTGCTGTTCTATGTAGCACATGATAAGCAAAATGATTGGTTGATTACTTGTTTTACTGTTTCTCTAAGCTTGTCACCAGTAATCACAACCCTGCACTAGGAACAGAGCAAATCTGACTGTAAGTCGTGTGCATCATTGTTATGCTTCTTCCCATGCCACTCCTCTTACACTTAGTTCTGAATTGAATAAAAAAAATGATTGGAGTCGCTACGATAGTGAGTCACAGGCAGCATTTTATTTAGGATTCGGCAACAAATGCCAACTTCCAGGTACCTCCCCATTTTGTTCAAAAAGCAATTGGGAAGTGTGGGGTTAGTCATATCATCCCACTATTATGCTATGCTGCCTTGCCCCGAAACAGCAAGGATATAGGGTCAAAGTACTTACTATTCTGTCAGTTGAACTATTGCACAATTTTGCTATGCCACTATTTTAATTTACTAGCTACTGATTGTTTCCATCACTCTGTAGTGGATGTGAAATGGCACATGTGTGTATCTGATAGGGAAGCTTTTGCATGCAATTATATAAAGGCGGTCAGAGAAGCAGAAAGCGGATCCCTATTCTGTGCTAGAAAATATAGCTCTATTGCTCTTGTGCAGATTCAAAAGAAATCAGCAAATATCTTCTGTGCTTTATCAGGCATCATGTCAGAAGTGGAGTCAGACGTTTAGAGAAGTGCTTATTGGCAGTTTCAGCTCATAGTCACATCTTTGGTCCTTGGTCAGCTTCAGATGCTGTTATTCTTGTATTGCCTTCTCAAAGAACTGGGCACATCACATTGAGAAGGCAATGCAAGAATAAGAGCAGCTGAAGTTTACCAAGAACCTAAGATGTGACTATGAGCTGAAACTGCCAATAAGCGCTTCTCTAATCATCTGATTCTGACATAATGCCTGACAAAGCATAAAGATATTTCATAGCTTTTGGCTGCTGTTGGATACTGTCAGTTTAATGGGAGAAATACTACTTTGGGCAATGGTACACTTAGAAACAGCTCATGACAATGAAGTGAAGACAAACCAGATAATAGCAGAAAAAAGTCATAGTTAGAAACAAGTGGAGAAAGGCCCTGTTAGTTTTAATGATTTGTGACAAACTCTTCTATTCCATGTACTTACAGCTATTCATCTGGGGACTGAAATGGTCCCCTGCTTGAAGGAACAAACCATAATTGGAGATTAAACATGAGACCTTAAAGAAGCCCTTCTGGATCTATTTCAAGCTCCCCTTTTAAAGGTTGCTACATTGGGAGTAATAACTTTCAAAGAGAATGGAGTGGAGTGGAGGATGGACTGAGTGAGAATTAAATGTGGAACATACAAGCTTTCTTTCTTTTGTTCAAAGTACAATATATTTTTTCTCTGAGAAGATGCCCCTTTGAGTGTCGCCTTAGAAGCTTTGTTTGGAAAAGAAATAGTGGTGAAGCCACACTGGTTGACTCATGGTCAAATAATATCTTCCAATTATGATGACTCTATCTTCAAATCTAAAGAGGAGTTAGGGTCAGAAGTACATGTTTGCCATTGGTTTGCATATTTACAATTTAAAGAAAGTTTTAAATTAGATTAAAAAAGCTATGGATTTGATTTTGTGAAAAATGAATTGGAAATCCTATTGTGTAATAGCAATGAACATATTATTGCTAAGGTTTATAAATTGTTATTGAAATTGAACTTGGAAAATGATCATGTAAAACATTATATGTAAGTGGACAAAGAATTATGCACATATGCTTGAACAATGGGAAAATATGTGGATAAAAGGTCTAAAATTCATATTAAATTATAACTTAAAAGAAAATGTTATAAGATGATGTATTGTTGGTATCTAACACCAGAGAAATGGTCAAGAATGTATAAAGGTACCACAAATATGAATGTTGGAAATATAAATGTAAAGAGGGAACTTTTTACCATTTATGGTGGACATGTGACAAAGCAAAGAAATATTGGAGTAAGATTCACATCTTAATACAGAAGATTCTTAAAGTGAATAGAAAGATAAAACCAGAGACCTTATTTTTAGGCTTAATGAATAAAGAACTTTAAAAAAAGCCTAGAACTTTGATGTTATATATGCTGACAGCAGCAAGAATACTTTATGCACAAAAATGGAAGAATACTTTGATTCCCACAATGGACGAGTGGCTGCAAAAATTGATGGAATTAGCAGAGATGGCTAGAAAGAAAAGAACACAATTAATTTTCTAAAGAAAAGAACACAATTAATTTGTTTCTACTTGGAAACCACTTTTGGAGGTATAAAAAAATGAAATTTGATTTTGGGTTTGCTGATTAGATTTATAGAAGTGGCTAAGATATATTATATAAAAGTAAAATGCTGAGATTTTATATTACTACCTTATTCTACTGCATCAAAAAGAGTGAGTCAGAAGTCAATGCTTTTTTTTCCTTTTCCCCTTTCCCCTACACTTTTTTCTCTTCCCTTTCTCCTTTCTTATTTTCCCATTATCTTCATTTTTCTTTGTATTTCTGTATCTTATATTTTGATAAATTAATAAAAACATTTGAATAAAGTATAATATAACTTAATTTATTTCCTAGGGCTGCTCAGTATATCTCTGACAGCTGAAGCACTCAAATTAATCAGGAAGTCTTTTGATACCTTTTCCCCACTTTCCCAATTAGTTTTAAAGTGATCTATAGCAACATCTCCTCTGTATCTTCACACCTGCTATATTTTCAATTTATTTCATGCACCTGATAACAAAGGCCTTTGTTTCCTTGAATCAATTCAAGGGCTTGAGATAACACAGTGCAGGAGGTATAAGGGATAGACTTAGAAAGATCCAAATCTCCAATTAGCTACAAAGCTCATAGGGTATTTCCTTTCCTCTCTTGAATCGTAAAGTTTTGATGAAGATAAGATGAATTGTGTAAGTCATTTCATCCTCTTGGAAAAAAGGAAATATCTAACTATAATGGATAAATAAATAGATAATGCACCTTGATATTGTTAGATAATTTTAGATTTGGAGTTAATAGTCATAAAGGGGCTGAGCTAATAATTTTTAGATGAGTGTTTTAAATTATGTTGTTTCACTCCTGCTACATTTAGTGGCCTCATTTTTTCTTCATTCTGCTAAATAGAGCTCTTTGATTTTTAATATAAAATCTGCTTTTGACTTCTGTATGTGGGTGGGTGTGCGTGCATGCGCATGCATGCACATGTCCTTTCAAGTCA